AAAACAATCAATAAAAAATGCTGGCAGAGCTGTGGGGAAAAAGTAATCCTTCTCCACTCTTAATGGGAGTGTAGGCTGGGGCAACCATTGTGGAAATCAATATGGCAACTCCTCAAAAAACGAGTTAGTGGTCCCATTTGACCAAGCTATTCCACTTCTTTCCCAGGAGAATTAAAAGCATCACATGCTTTTATGATGTATGTATACACACAGCAATATATGTAAACCCATGTTTATAGTGATACAGTTTGCAACAGCTAAGTCTTAAAAGCAACCCAAATGTCCATCAACCAATGAATGGATTTTTTAAAAAAGATTTTTTTCCCATATAATGGAGTATTATTCAGCCATAAAGAAAGATAAAACTGAGACATTTATATCTAAATGAACGGACCCTGAGACCATAGTCATAAGTGAAATAAATCAGACTCACATATGTAAATATCATTTTATCTCTCTGGTGTGAAAAACTGAAAATGTAAATAAAGGCCAGCCAGACAGCTCAGTGTATTAAAGCACCTGGCAGGGACCAACGTTCAATCCCAGACTTGCAGTGCTGGCCCCGCCCCAGGCGCACACTGAGACTGGACACGGTGGCATGCACCTATAATCCCAGCACTTGGGAGGCTGAAAACAGGGGGATCACTACAAGTCCAATCTGTTTAGTGAGACCCTGTAGAACCTGTACTAAATACATTAAAAAAAAAAAGTAAATAAGAACCTAAGTGTACAATAGATACTTTGAAATAGGAAGAAACTGTTTAAAGAGAAATAGGGTAAGAGGGAAGAAACGGAGTGAAAGAAAAAAGTGAGAAGATAAAATGAAAACTAAGCTTTGTGACTAGGGAGGAGTCTTCTTTAGCATAGGCTGTGTATCCTAGGAAAAATGAAAATGCAACCTTTAATCATAGAGAATTTCCAACCAATCAAGTTATGGTGGCATTATCTTCAGCTACATAATTTCCAGAGTTTTCATAAGCATGGCACATAGGAGACATTCAAATATTTGCTAAAATGAACTCTACTATATTACCAACATATTTAGATCATATTTGATCTCCACAATCTTGGATCAGTTTGGGCAGAAAGAATATGAATGTCCAGGTCTGAAGGACAAAGGAAATCAAGGTGCAGGAAGGATAAATGGCTTGACTAGCATTTTCAATTAAACAGTAAAGTATAGGTTTGAAATCAAATCTTTTCATTTTATCTTCTCACTTTTTTCTTTCCCTCTCTTTCTTCCCTCTTACCCTATTTCTCTTTAAACACTTTCTTCCTATTTCAAAGTACCCATTGTACATTTAGGTTCTTATGTACTTTTTAAAAATCAGTGTTCCTTCCATGTCTCCAGGTATCGGAAGCCCTAAAAAGGCCGGACACGGTGGTAGCAGGTCTGTAATCCCAGCATTTGGAAGCCTAAGCAAGAGGATTATTTAAAGTTTGAGACCAGCCTGGCCTAAATTATGAGTTCAAGGACAGTCTGACTACATAATAAGACCTTGTCTTTAAAAAAAAACAAAAAAAGCTGCTCCTGAAAAGACACTGGATACGTGATTATCTCCACGGCTTCACAGCCAAAGAATACTAAATGTAATCACATGGAGAAGGATCACAGGACCCTCCTCCTTAGGACAAAGCCACCCATAAGAGTAAAATGAAAATAAAGCTTTCAGGGGGCCTGCCCCTTAGCTCAGTTCTTTAAGTGGCTGCTTCAACAAAGCCGTCAGGCTCAGGTTGCTGTGGTTCGATCCCCACTACTCAAGCCAGCCAGTCATGCCTTGAAGGCATTTGGAGCGCAAAAAAAAAAAAAAAAAAAAAAAAAAAGCTTTCACATGGTAAATCTGAGTAATATCCTAAGAGTTGGCTTAAATAGAAAAGAAACAACTAAAATTATCAAGAAAATAAAGAATAAAGACCCTTAAAAAGGTGAAGACTTTTCATCTTTGGCATCTCAAAATCAGTGAATACTTCTTGGTGTTAGATATCTTAAAAATAAATCATAGTTCTCATATAATAAAGCAACAGGATATACTACTTAATTCTAGGAGATGATAGGAAACAAAAAATATGTAAGAGTCATCATTAAAAACTCAGCAAATATGTAAGATTTGTGTACTACACAGTCTAAAATGCCCAAAACATGAAAACAGCCATAAACTGAAAAATAAAATGTGATGGCATGTCAATAAAAGATGAAAAACAGGAAAGAAAAAGGGAATGGGGCAATGTAAGACAGTAAAGTGAGAGATGGTTTAAGTACCCTCACATAAACTTTCAAGATTGGTTCAAAGTAGTGGTCGACTGTGGGTTTTACCCACTGAGACATGCTTGGAAGAAGTCTGAATTCTGAGCCTTTTCTTGAGGCTCCATCAAGGCAGATACCTCTAAGCTCTGCATCCACAGAACATCCCCAGACATGACTCTCATTAAGTGAGAGCTGGTTTTAAATCCACTTCTTTTAATGATTAGCACTAGGTCTTGGCAACAGACTTTACTCTTGAGCCTCTCTGTTCTGTTTTGTTCCTAAAACAGACACACCAGCCTACCTACTCTATTTGCTAAGATCATGAAGACAAAAGTATTTGTATCAAAGCATCTTTAAGGTAATGCTTATGTTCTAAGTATTGTAAATAAAATAAACTGAGCCAAAAGCTTTAATAAGCGATGAGCAGGAATAAACTGATTATACATATAGCTAGATTAGCTTTAAATATTTAAAATAACTCAGGTCTGATTTACAAGATTAAAGATTTTGGATGATCACGAGTTCAAGGACAACCTAGGCAGTGCAGTGTGACCCTGTCTCTCTCTGTCTCAAAACCTAGAATTTAGCTCAACGGTATAATGCCGGTTGCTATACATAAGCTCCTGGGTACACGTACACACGTACACACACACACACTCTCTCTCTCTCTCTCTCTCTCTCTCCAAAATAAACACTCATAGGAGGCTCATAACTTCTAAGCCTGACATATTAAAGAGGTGGACCAAAAAAATCTATTTATGGCAGTGTAAAGTTTATAGAAAACTATGTATAAAGAAATAACATGATCTTATTTCAAGAGGAAAGAGACAATACGAGGTGTTAGGAAACCTATATTTCAGTACAGGCTCAGTGTCTCTAATTGAAGTTGAGGATATGTCACCTCTCTAGATCTGTTTTTTCATCTATAGGCAGAAAGAGGTGACAACAGTCACTTATAACTTAAAAACAAATGCTATGATAACAAGAAAACATTTTCTACTTCACTAATCTCTGTCCTCAGACCATGTACTTCTGTCAATGTCGTTTATCGTCTAATGTCCTTTTCCTCTTCATCAATTTAGTGCCATTCAACTCCAAAACCTACACAAAAGTTCTTTTAATGTAAAGTTTTCCAAAATATGTACACAAAATTCACAGTTCCCTTCCATTCAGGATTCCATAATACCTATGAACTTTTTTATGCCTGCTTTTAGGTCTAGTAGGATGTGATACCAAATCCAGTATTCTTCCCTTCCTCTAGAAGGCAGGAAACATTCTATTAGATTTACAAGAAGAATGGGCACAAGTTCCATAATATACATTAATTGAATATATGAGGGTCAAGGCATGCTATTTCGTATTAAGGATACCTCCAGCTTAGCCTAATAAAGCTCTTGGCCACCTACATATTTTAGAAAGCTCTACCTGGTCTGCACAGGTCTCCATGTTGTTCTTTTTCACTGGCATAGACCTCCATGCACCAAGCGTGGTAAGCAAATGAAAAGAGATCTTCTATTTTAGCAGGGGGTCGAATTGCATTATTCAGCCTCTTGAGCCAATCTTGACACTGCTCAAATGTTGAGAACTGACACCTTTGTGAAACCAAACAAATATGAATGTAATCAGATAATAGTTAACTAAAATCTAAGAAAAGTCACCACTTTCTTTTTTTTGAAAAGTCACCATTTTAAGACTCCCTATTCATAGTGAAGTGGTTAACTACAATGGAGAACACATCACAAGTAATCATTCATATATTCATTACTATTTATAATAAAAATGGGCCCAACAAATTTGAGTTGGCAATATACACATCAAAAAGAAGGCGAGCAATATGAAATCTATTCTTTTAATTTAATGAAAATTCTTTTGAGATTAATGACAATTATTGAAGAAAAATGGCAGCTACCTTCTTTTTTTTGGCTTGCTCAGACTGCCCTGAGGACAGGGCTAGCACAGCATGTGGTGCTGGGGATTGAAATACGGTCCCCAGCACTTGCCTAAGCTTGCCTAAGCAGGTGCTTTTAGACCACTAAGCTATCTCGCCAGGCACAAGCTACCTTCTTTCATGCATGAGATTTCATTCTACTTTGGTGTTATGGTTATGCTTCTCAAAAATGTTTAGAAAGTCCTTTTTTGTTTTGTTGTGACACAACAGGCCAATCTAAAAAATAAATCACCACACTATTTTTGACTAGTTAGGGAGTTGGGGAGGTGGCAGGGGGTGGTGGTGCTGCTGTTTGGCTCTACAGGAGAATGGACCCAGGTTTTTCCTCACTGATCTACATCCCTAGCCCTCACCCCCTTTTTTCCCCTCAAATTTTGAGACACCATCTCACTAACTTAAGTAGCTCAGGTGGGATATAAATCTGAGATGCACCTGTCTCAATCTTCAAGAGTGCTGGGATTACAAGTATATGCTACCACACTTGCTTTGTTAAAGGAGAAATTTTAAAATTTGTCTATTTAGCAATGAAAACAAATCAGCATCTTTGGATGCAAAGTACAGAAGATTATACTGAAACTTTCAGCTGTGACCCACACAGAGAACAAAACAATTCTGATATTAATGGCACAGGGGCTTGCATGTTAGCTTAGTTCTTTAAAGTGCCTGCTTGGGCAAACCCAGTTGGGCACAGGGGACCATGGTACGGTCCCCAGCTGCACATGCCACACCAGACCTGCCTTTAAGGCAGCCTGAGCCAGCCAAAAAAAAAAAAAGAATCCTGATATTGATGGCCATATTTAGTATACGCAACTGAGGGGGGTTAAGATGATTACTGGAAACTGACTTTTTTGAGGATTTGAAATCTCTGACTTTTTAAACATAGTATTAAAAACTGAGCTAATTAATAAGTAGGTTTAAGTTGTGAATGATACCCACTACCTATCAAATATAAAGTCAAACATCACTTTCTGAAAAGCAACTTAAACATTTATCTTAAAACTACAAAGGTCACTTAAACCTCTTCCTTGTCTTTCTCAATCAATATGCCAGCATACAATATTTATTAGTACACTAGAACAGGTCAAAGGGATAACATTTGAAGAATTTAAAGGCTTACATTACTTTCTCAGTTTTTCATGCCTATATCTTGTATTATGAGCAACTACTTTGAAGATAACAATGTACAATGTACTGAACATTGTTACACTCCTACAAATCTTGCTTTAAAATTTTATACAATTGTTTTTATTGTTTACTTTTCTTCTCTTAAAAAAATAATCTAAAAGAAAGGCATCATTTCGCAACCATTATAGTTAGATTAGATAAAAATCATTAAGGATGCTCAATTTTGATACAAAGCAAAACATCTGCATCTTCCTTCTATCTATCTATCTATCTATCTATCTATCTATCTATCTATCTATCTAAGGGAAGGGTCTATCTATCTATCTATCTATCTATCTAAGGGAAGGGTCTACAGGGTGTCCAGGGTCTCACTATTAGATTGGACTCATAGTGATCTGCCTGTTTACAGCCTCCCAAGTGCTGGGATTACAGGCATGCCATCATGCCCAGTCTCATCTACAGGCTCAGCGTGCCCCAGGGGTGGGGCCAGGATACCAGGCCTGGGGATCCAACCTCTGGCCCCTGCTTGCAGGTGCTTTAATCTGCTGTGCTATTTGGCCAGCCCTGCATTTTCTTAAAGAATTCCCCATACATAGACTGTTTATTAGAAACTATAGAAATTACATAAAAATCAGGTGACACCTTGAGTAAAGTAATCAAAATTCATCACTGAGGGACAAGTGAATTGTTTGCCTCTGGATATAATACTATACAATACCCTGAAAAAGGTACATTACCATATATACACAACATTCCAGCTAAGAAACTTCAATTTAATCTTGAGGAAACGCTGGACAAATATAAAATAAGAAACAAATTCTATTAAAAAGACACGTTCTTCAAAACATAAATGTCATAAAAGACAAAGCAGGACTGAGGAAAATGTTCCACATGGAAGAAGGCTCTCAAGTCATAGAAGCTAAATGTATGATCTGACCTAGACTGGTTCTTATAGTGAATGAAGTAGAGGTGGGGGTGAATGCTATAAAAGACATCATTAGGTCAATCATCAAAATTTGAACCTTGATAGAAGACTGGATAAAATACATCAATATAAAACTGTAAAGTTGATAATGATGCTGTGGTCATGTTCAAAAATAAGCTTTTTTCTTAGAAACATACAAAATTATTTTGGGGTTAAAGAGCCATGCTTGTGTAACTTACTGTAAAATTGTTCAGAAAAAGATCTCTCCCCCACCCCGCCACAAACACCATACTGAAGGGTTCTATAAATGATAAAGTAAATTGAGGTAAAGTGTTAACTATGGATGACTCAGTATATGGAATAGTAGGGTACTATTTTTATTTTTGCTATGTCTTTAAAATTTGGTATCTTCAAATAAAAAAGAAAAAGCATCAATATGAAAAATATCCTAAAAGTAACATATTTCAGGCACTAATTAACTTATGAAATATTCTTAACAAAGCTGACCTCAAAAGGTATTCTGCTGTGTTACTGAAACATGTATCTATTCTTTAAAAAATATTTTCCACACAAACAGCTGCACAAACATACCACATACCTGATAACTTTGCAGTCTTTGCAAGTCAAATGAAGCTGAAATATATCTCGGCATTCAACACTTTCTATAAGCTGTAGTGGAACCTATAATTAAAAAGAAGTCTTAGTCCAAAAGGCATTGACCTTGTAGTTCAGTGTGTTCAACAAGACTATTTAGAAAACTCTATATAGAGAAAAGAAATACAACTGCAAATTTAGCTACATCAAGTACGCAAGTGATTTACTACAGAAGGAATTAGGGCTCCCCTTTATCTCTGGCCTCAAGTCATGACACTCATGAAGACAACAAAGAAGGATCACCTCTGAAAGGAGTGGAATGCACTTGTCTAGCATTGTACTCATAAACTGATCTCTGTTTTTAAATATTGTAGCTGGTTAGAATTTGTAATGACACAAAAGATCAAGGGCATTAGAATAATAATCCCACCTTGCTTATAGAAAAGAACTACAGATCTGAGTGCAAATGGATTCTATCTGTTATGACACAGCATCAGCAAAGGAGGCTCTGAGAAGTCTGGAAGCCTAAACTGCCAATGGATTGCAAAGAAAAGATTATGGGACACTAGCTGCTGGTCAGGACCTGTGCTCAGAAAAATAGATCCACAGATTATCAGGAAGGGAAAAGGTCATACAGAAATCAAAGACCCTAAAACTAGGTAGGTTTAACTAGCTTCAAAGATCAGCTGCTAAATATGGCTTGAAGTCTGAGCAGAACGATCCTCACTTCACAGTCTGGTCAGAAGACTCTACTAAACATAGGATTATGTACAATGCTGGAAGGAGACAGATAAGGGAGACTGAGGGTAGGGATGGGTAATCTGAAGTGGATACAAATTCTTAGGTTGACAGGTCTCCCCTCTCTGGCCCTGAAATCACCTTGATTCAACCTCTGGCTTCAAAAGGCAATTTTCAAACCTTCAAAAGTGCCTGATGAATGATCAGATGGATACTCATCCCTTAGAAGAAGGGTAGATACAATATATCAAGTCCTGCCAGAATGTGACTCTGGGACTTGACAGTAGTATTCCAACACTTCTGTTTAACATGAGAAAGACAAGGTGATTTCCTCTAATGTAGACACAAGAGAACTACCAGAACCAGGTGGCCCTTCATCAGCTGGGCCAGTTTCAGAAACAGGCTTCCTATAAACTCTATCCCAGCACACAGAATCAACAGAGAATTCTCAAAATGAGCATGGGGGCGGGGGGGGCAGTGCTGGCAGGACTGGGGCAGGGATGAAAGAAGAGCAAAGTAAAGCACTACTGAGAGAAATAGCTGGGAGTTTTTACCCCAGGATTAAAAGATTTCTTGCTTTTGTCTATATAAAAATTCCCTTTCTATTACAATTGTAACAGGACTGATAGGGAAAAGACTAAGAAATGTTGCTTGTGTCCTGAGAAGAAAAAAAGGTTTTGGCGTCTCTGTTTTTAAGTCCTTAACCCCGAGACATTTTGAAAAACTGCAGCTGATGAGGCTAAAAATTCTTTTAACATTTGTCACTTGAGAGGGAGGAGGTGATAGAGATGAACTAAAGGAAGAACAGAGATTAAAAAGAGATTGTAAAATGACACTGATTTGTTCTCAGGCCAGTACTTTGGGTACCCTAAAGCAAACTCTCACTGTTTTATTTTTAAAATGTACTTTAACTGGTTATCCTCAATCCTACCTCTTGTGGCTGGCAGACTAGCAACTGAAAAAAGCCTGAGTTCTGGTCTTGGTTGTCTAAAATTTTACCAGTTAAAAGATCTGCTTGTTTCTTGGCTTCACTGGGTTAACCATCAGTCTTATTAAATGTCACCCAGTTAATTCAGTAATCTGTGTACAAAGCCTGAGAAAAGCCTGGAGGTGAAGTGAGAGTGAGTTTTACAAATCCACACTGAGTGGTTGCTCTGCCTGCAGTCAGCTGCATCCCAGGTCCCTCAAGTGCCTTTCTTATTGCTAGAAATGGTGAAAACCACTAATTCTATTAGCTACTGCTGGGGAGGAAGTTTACACTGTGCAGCTTTGCTACAAAGAAAATGTAAGTTTTATATCACTATTACTGTACCAAAACTCAAGGGCTCTTCAAGAACTTCGAGAATAATAACAAAATACTCCAGAGCATGTAAATTATAGTGGTACATCAGTTCACAAACTTAATTGCTTTCATGATTCTCGTGGCAAACTGAACTGGACCACAATCAAATCAACTTTCTCCAAAATGTCAACACTGAATCTAACCACTGAATTTGATTTGTTTCTTGTCCAATTCAGTTTGCCACCAGAATTACGGAAAGAATTAAGTTTGTGAACTGAGACCTCTGTATCTGCTAAAGTCCATTCACTAAACAAATTTTCATATTACACCTTTGAGAACAAAGTATTGGTTCTATGCATTCAAATCAGATTAAATATACAAGGAAGTCACCAAAAACAGCCGCGTGAACTTGAGTCACAGATACAGAGAACAGCAGCTTTTAATCCTCATGCAGATACTCATTTGCAGGGAAGTTTTATATGCAGCAAAAATAACAACACTTCAAAAAGAAACCCAATTTATATCTATTTGCTTCTCCATTTTGCTTCCTAAACAGACTGCCTCTTTTTAAAAAGGCAGAGCAGACTACCTCCACAACCTTCATACATCTGACCAAACCAACTAAATTTCTTTACTTTCTTAAGGCCTACCCACTGATCTAGCTTTCTCAATCTTCCTCACATATGAAAAAGACCTATCACTCTATGACAAGGCCATACCCAATAATCAAGCTCATAAGCAAAAGATTTAAAGATTAATGCCAGTACATTTCTTAGCTCAGAGAACTTAGACAAGCACCTTATAAGCCAGCACCAAAGTCTAGGCCAAAATTCAGGTCTGCCCTCCAGCCTTGGATCCTTCCAATATATATCCTGCTTTTCTTCCTCTAACATGGTCCTTTTTTCTTTTCCTGTGAAAGAAAATAATTTTCTTTCACAGAAAGAGATGGCCTTGGGGCCAGGGAGATAGCTCAGTAGAATAAGTGCTTGCCTGGCAAGTAAGGGCCTGAGTTCAATCCCCGGTTCTGCCAAAAAAAAAAATATAAGAAGTGGCTTCTCCATTAGACATCATGAGAAAAACAAAATTCATTTTTTTTTAGAACAACAAAATTCAAATGAAGATTGTCAAACCATAAATAAATATTGTTGAAGGCAATTCCATCTATAGAAGAAATCTGAAATTATTTTCAAATCTCTAGCCCGTAGATTCAGTGCCTCTTCTTCCCACCTGCACCCTTTAACACATTCTTGCCATCTTAAACCACCAATGGTATAAGCATGACTGTCCCACTAGGTGGCTTATACCATTGGTGATACAGATCTAAATCATCTTTACTGGTCTTTTTACTAATAAAATAAAAACTATAACTAGAACAAATTAGTTGCTTGAATTTGAAAAATTACTGCCCAAACATAAATATTAATACAATTCATGCCAATTAATCATTATAATAATAAAACTTATTTCATTTAAATCCATGAATAGTTGATCAATAATTCTCTAATTCTCTAAATTTTAACAAGAAAATCTTATAAACACACCATTACTGGTATATATAAAATGCATTTACAACTGCTGTACTGTAAATTAGCTATATGAAAATTTATATCATTTCAATGGTTTCCTTGAGAGACTATAAATGATGACATCTGATCTGCTAAATGAACACTTTTCTTTGCATTAATGTAGTCAAAGATCCCCTAAAAAGTGGTACAAGCCATCTAATAGGACAGTCATACATGTACTACTGGTGGCTCAAGCCAATGTGAACAATAAAATTTAAATCAGAGCCACCAATTTTTAAAATATAAAAATCATGGCTCCATCATGAACATGTTAATTTCTTCTTCCTTTACCTTTTGTCAGATAATTATATTTCATTACAGTGCTTATCCTATTTCAAATACCATTAAAACTCATGTTCAAACAATGCATCAAACACACTGAATGCTGTTAGTAGTCTTCAAAAAGCCAAAAGCTACATCCTGGGCACCAAAACTCAAGAGCATCAAAGCAAAAACAAACAAACAAACAACCACACAGCAGTAAAACTTAATAATTGACATGCGAATGTGTTAAAGATCCACAAAACTGCCACATTCTATCACCTTACATGGGAACCTAGTATATTCTGCTATATTTACCTCCTCAGTTCATTCTGGCTGTGTGTGCGCATGTGCATTAGTTAAAAGCACAAGAAACAATCATTCATTTTAATTGACTGATGAGTAAGTACTAACCAGTACTAACCCTGTGTAACACATCTAAAGTAAAAATGGCAGTACAAGTAAAAATAAAAGTAATGAATCTAAATCCAAAACTTCGTAATAAACTATGGAATTTCATTATATCATTTCATTTAAAGACCAGTCAGAGGAGAAAAGAATTTCATAAAAATAAAGACCAACACTCTCCTCTCTACTGTTCACTTCGGACATATATAAGGTATTTCCCTTGGTACTTGTTTCAAAAGCTTCCACTGGTACAAGAATGCTAAAAAAATATTCCTCCCTCTGGTGCTTGGGAAATAAAAGCTGTTGTTGGATAATGAAAAATACTAAGGACAGATGTTCCCAGGTACTATAGTTCTATACTTCTCCCCAACAGGCACTGATAGGTGAGCCTGGAATGGACATTTTAATGTCCTCTTAAACACTAATGTTGATTTTATAATTATTATTGTTTAAAATTTGATCATAAGCCAGGCACAGTTGTGCACACCTATAATCCCAGCACTCTGGAGGCTAGGGCAGGAGGATCATTGTAAGTTCAAGACCAGCCTGAGCTACAAAGTGTCCTCAAGACCAGCCTGAACTGCATAATGAGAACCCATCTCAAAAAGACAAAAATAAATTTTAAAAAATTTGGTCTATAGTATTTAAAGGTCTTATTCCATTGCATATGTATAAACTAAGGCTTCATCTTCATTCCATATGATGATCTCATCAGAGTTTACTCTTAGAACTTTGGTGATAGGGAAGGGATTCATGCATATTTTGTTGATTTTCAAGATGAACATCTGACACACAAAACCAACTTGTTCCAAGCATAGATGCAGTAACCAGCTAGGACTTTCATGCTACTTACTGGGATTTCAGAAGCAGTAGAGTGAGAAGCAGTCTATTGAATTACACAACAAAAATCGTTTTAAACTTCCATAAATTCCAGTTGAACACTTGTTTATCAACTAAGCTTCAAGAAATACAGCTGTATGTATATTATAGTTTGGGAAAAAGAATGGAGCAATGCTACCTTAAATGCTACAAAAGAACTCCTTTACAGATATTCTTTATTCTGAGACTTGAATACAGATACTCACTGTGTATAGATGAATGATGTTTATGGTTATCTAAATCTACAGACACATTTTACTCAATGTGCTGTGAAATTAAAACAAAATACATGCTATCAGGTAGCTATTTAAAACCTGATGGCAAGTCATTTTCTAATGTGCTAAATGATGCAAAGTGGGGCATGCCATAACACAGATAGCACGTGAGTCCTGATAGTTCAAATGTGTTTGATTTAGATAATAAGAACCTTCACCAAGTCATCTTCAGAACCTCATGCAGCTTACTGAATATGATAAAGAGAAGAAGAGGTAGGTCTTACTGAACATGTGTGTCTTACTAATACACTTATCAGACAGAGCGAGGAGAGGAAGGAGAGGAAGTAAGGGGCAATGTCAATACCAACACTTTGGTCTCCATCCAGGATCTGATGCAGGAAAAGCCATTATCTCTTGGAGTAGCCCACATTTTACGAACCTGTTACAGCTCGTGTTTTAGACGTCCCCTCAAAGACTCATGTGGTCATAGGTGGGGCCTTTTCAGAGGCAGCTGAATTCTAGTTTGTGTGACTGCTTCATAATGTAATGTTAGGATTAAAGGTGCTAGGGTTAAGGATAGGTGATTACTAAAACAGTTCACTGATTGGTTCATTCCTTGTTTTGCTACCTTCTGCCTGCCAAGAACTGTTTCTCCTCTGCAATGGCAATCTGCCAGGCCACCCTGATGGAGGTCAGTCAACAATGGACTGAAACCTTCACAAACTGTGAGGTAAATAAATCTTTCCTCCTTTAACTTTGGGTATCGAATATTTTGTCTTAGTAACAAGAAAAGTAACACACCCTTAGTACTAAGTATATTGAGATTAATGGTATGGAGAAATATTGGTCTATTATAATATGAAATGTTGGGCCAGTAAGATAGCTCAGTGGATGAAGCACCTGCTTACAGGAACCAGGGTTTGATCCCAGCACCACATGCAGTGCTGACCCCACCCCCAAGGGTGCTGAGCCAGCCACCTAGACCAACCATGGTGGTGCACACCTATAATCCCAGCACTGGGGAGGCTGAAAACAGGGGGATCACTATGAGTCTGAGCTGTGTAGTGAGACTACCATACACATAAATGTTTATAATCAGTACAATGCCAAAATACTTAAGAAAATCTTTCTCCCTCTTTTGTCCCAACCCACTCTGTGCAAAGCCATTATTTGGGATTTTTAAGTGACATGTAAGCTCCAAGCTTCAAAGAGTTGCAATGCTAGGAAAAACTTTTATGTGAAGAAATGGGTCAAAAAAAGAACACAGATAAAGCAGTAAATAACCTGTTTGTACAGATATTGTTGGAGATAAAGGATGACACAGGTCTACTGACATAGCAACATATTATTTTAATAAATGAACTTCAAATCCAAAGAGAGAAAATGGTCTAATACTCATTTCAAATCCATATTAACTTCAATTCACTTAATACTCATTGGACATCATAGCACTAGGAGACATGCTGTATTCTGGAGATACAAAGATGAATAAGCAAAACTTACAACACATGTAGTAAATGCTGGAAAATACGTTTAAAATACAGCAGAAATCATTTGAGTCTAATTAACTGTCAGGGAGGGAACCAGGACTGAGCACAAGTTCACAGATGAAATTATCAAGTAAACTGAGATTTAACAGATGAAGAAAAGGTCCCTGGGAAGGAGACAAGGTAAAAGATGAAAAGTGAGATGATAGCAGTGCTCTGGAAAAACCAGTTCACTGAGAGAAAGGAATTTAGGTTAAAACAGCTTCTAGGCATAAATGGTTAACTACAAATAATAACAGTAAATGAACTATAAATTCCAACCACTGGGCCAAGGAGATAGTTCAGCAGCAAAAGCACCTGCCTGGTAAGCACAAGGTCCCAAGTTTGATCCCAGGTACCACACAAAAAAAAAGAGAGGAGAGAGAGAGAAGGGAGAGAGGGGAGAGAGGGAAGAGAGGGGAAAGAGAGGAGAGAGGGGGAAGGGGAGGGGTAGAAGGGAGAGAGAAGAGAGGGGAGAGGGGAGAGAGAGAGGAGGAGAGAGAAGACAGGAGAGAGAGAAGAGAGA